GCTGTTAGTGCAAACGAATTCTATGCAGCAAGTCCCAGTAGGCGGCATGGAGGAAACTAGCGTGTTTCACGGTCCTGGATCTCCATTCCTGCGCTTTTGATGATGGGGAAACAGCTACGTTTCGACAGCTGAGGGGCTGATAATCACGCACACCAAACTATGTGTGATCGTACCATGTGTCTTTAAAATGTCATAAATATGCACGTGCATCCTAGTTTTTTGGTTCCTCGAGACCCTCCCTCCTCATTTTCGCCTGATCAGCGCACTTTGAGGATTAGGTATTCAAGCATAATTAGAAAAGAAAGGAATAGATATGAATTGACAATTACTACAAAACACGTATGGCTGGTCTCGCCCATAACCACATACAAATTTTCAAAAAAAAGAAATAGGATGCACCTGCATATTTATGACATTTTAAAGCAACGAAGTAGCAACAATTGCAGCCAAATCAGAGAGTTGCGCAATGCATTTAGTGTACGGTATTGCCCACTAATGCTGTGCGATGCGCGCGCCACAAATCCGCAATCGTCCTGTTTTCTACTCTCCTACTCTTCATTCTCTCTAGCCCTGCCTCTGGCAAACGCTAGTGAGACGCTGGTGAAACGCTGGAAACGCTAGATCGATACCTATACTTTCCCTGCCCTCGCTACGCTAACATGCGCTAGCGTTACAGCAGCGTGCGGGTGATGCTAAACGTTAGATCGATATCTATCCTTTCCCCGACACTGCCACTGGCATACGATGGAGACGCTAGCGTTCGCTGGCGTACGCTGCCGCAAAGTATGAACGCAGCCTTACTGCCTATGTGGTCAGGGAGAATCCCGGATCGTCTCCCGTACAAGCCAACCAAATCTTCTACCCCTCGAAAACGGTGCATTAGTACTAGATTCGTCTGGGAGGATAAAAACGCTGACTTGTACCAGGGAATGGGGTGGAAGGCTAACATAGACTTCCAGCCCGCGCTGGTTCCCTGCTCCACGATGAGTCTCCTGGAGTTGAACTTCCTCTGTTAGTCTCACCCCCCCCCTACCTACAATTCCTGTATAGGAACTCCACTACCGTTTCCTTTATGGCTAAACGCCTCTTATCTCAATCTGCTCATCTCTTTCATCTTCTTACCCGCCTACGCTTCTTTTACAGGATACCATATCAAGGAATAACCGCAGCTTTTCTATAAGCCTAAGCTCGGCAGCTTTCCTAAATGTCAAAGCTTAATGCTAATATGTACAAAGAACTTGTTTTCCAAGCACAAAACTGGATTCTTTTATAGAAACTGCCATCGAGCATACGTATATCGTACCAGCGCTATCATTTGAGGTGACTTGATTTTTGCTCACTCAATTTCTTGAAAACACTGCTAGGAAGCGCTCGACACGTTTCCCTGAGCACTCTACGATTGCAAAGAATAACATAAATTTTTTTTCTAGCAACAACTATTATAACTGCAACTTTTCGCGCTTTAATCTCTGATTCTGAGGGGTCTCAGCTTCGCACAAGCTTTCACAGGGCGTAGACTTCTGAAATTCCTTAATGGACCATGCTACTGTTTGACTCATTCCAGTGATTCCTGCGGGCCACGCTTAGTTTCGACAATGGTAACACCTGTGCTACATTGAGGAAATATTATATGCTACGGTGTTTTGTTGATATCATCGCTTGGAAATGGATAAATCCATTCCAGCGACTGAACACTATGGAATAATGAGGATGGGAAACGCGTTGGACAGTCACTGGAAAGGAATGGTGACCATTCGAGCTGCGTTCATACTTTACGAGACCGTCCACCAGCGACCATCAGCGTCACAGGGACTAGGGAAGTATGAATATCGATGCAGAGTCTAGCAGCGTCTGCGAGCGTTTACCAGCGACCAGCAGTACGGATTGTGTAGTAGTAGGGTGCGGTTGCACATGCCACAATTTCAGGACGCCTAATCCAGCGTTTAACATATCCTACCAACGGTCTGCTACCCCCCCTCCCCCCTACTTCCCCATACTCCCTACGCCTGGTCGCTGGTAGACGCTAGATCGACTCTCATACATTCCCTCGTGACGCTGATGATCGCTGGCGGACGATAGTGGACGCTGATAGACGCTGTTATTCGCTAGATCGATATCCATACTTTCCAGGTCGTTGACGCTGAAGGAAGCTTGAAACGCTGATGTTGCTGGTGGACGCTACCGCAATGTATGAACGCAGCTTCACTGAAGGCCCAGCCGGATGCATCCCCGATTCGGACTCGGAAACAACTCCGAGCTGCACCCATCTAGCAAAGAACCCCACAATATCGACTATTGGGGAACATTTCCCCGCTCGATACCACAGGGTGTGCACTGCGCCAACATGGTTGTGACTGAATTTCCTATTCCTTAGGCCCCTTGAAAGGACTTCCTGGTAGACATAGTGGATGCCGAAGAGAGCCGGGTCCCTACGTAAATCAGGCCCTTCAAGCTCCACAAGACCGAGCCTGAGATCCGCTTCTCTAAAACTAGGAGCGGATCAGCTCGGAAGAAAGGTTAGCACTATTCGCGTCGAAGGGCGCATCCAAGAAAATCTTTGTGCAAAACCTGGTGCCACGTAAAAAGATGAGGATTGTTGCTCTCAAATGCTCCTGGACACTAGTCCAGCAAAGACGAACATAGTCCACCTTCAAATGTTAGCCCAGGCAATATGTTCCATTCGCTCAAAAAGGTCGAACTTCCTCAATGACACATTCATTTTTGCGCTTTTCTATCAGTGGGTGCCCGCCCAAAGTGACACCAACTAATGGAAACTCGCAGGCGCTGCACTAAAATGTGTTGCACAGGAACACTTACACGTAAAGCACTGATAACGATCGTTCATCACAGCTCAACGACATCATTTAATACCAGCAACCGTAGCAGACATTGCAATTAGCGGATGCATGGACATTGAGGATGACACTCGGGGAAAACAATTAGGTAGAGCCTTTTTATTTCGGTGCGTTGCTAATTAGGCACAGATGAATTTTTGAGAACGATTACGGTGGATTCATCAAATCCTGACACAAAAAACCCTTCATCACATTTTTTCTTGAGAATCGTTTGGAATGAGTACCACAATACAAAGGGCGCTGTTCGGCTGAGGGGCACTTAATGCTACTCAGCCAAACTTGTACAAGCCCCTTGTGAAAACCTGCAAATTCTCTTACCTAAAGTGGTTCAATTATACCACTTCGCATCTTTACAAGAGTTGACAGTCTCACCGGTCTTAATTATGACCATGTATAATGAACTGACTCAAGTGCAAAACGCAACCCCATTCAGGATACGGACAGGAAAATCGTAATCTGTTGCGTCGTCGCGCGCGGGGCATGCCCTGACCAGTTGGAGTGCACTGTCGAGTAGACCAGCGAAACTGATATGAATTCAACACAGAACTTCACAACAGGAGATATCGGATTTTTCCCTCTATTAGGGATTCAAATTCGAAAGGCTGGGCCAGGGGAAACTCGTCGGCCAAGCGCGGCATCGCTCGCCACGCCAAACAGCGCGGCCTATTACGATTGTCTTGTAGCATACGCACTCCCTCCCCCTCCCAAGCCGAACAAAACCCCAAAAAAATTTATAATGTCAACTCACTTCAAAGCGATTTTTGGGAAGGGCAGCCGTCCAGCCGTTAGTGCCATTACCACTACCACAATCGAATGGATCGCGAATGGGAGCAGTTGGAACGTTTTCTGAAGAGAACTAGTGAAGAACTGTAGAACTATGGCTCGTCCTAAGAAATCCAAGAATAATGAAATCGAATAGTTGAAACAAATTAGAAGATGGGTCCTTGATTATTTCAAATACTGTGGAATTATAATGAGATTCGGGCGAAGACACACTACCCGAAGCGAACAACTTGAAGGGTGAGAGAGCCAGAGTTTTAACAGAGAAAAGAGGGACCAAGGCATCTCAGCTGTGCTGACATGGACTTATCGCGACCTGAGTCTTGAACCTGAGCGCAGTTGCTCCTTCACTTTCGAGTAGCGAAAAGGGCACAAACATATATAGTTCAGGACCCAATCATCTAGCTGGCGGACCCAATCATCCAGCTGGCGAGGCACTACTTAAGATCAAAATCGCGCAAAGAGCCTCAAGTGAGAATTTCGCCCTACGTACGTCCGGTACCAAATGAAGGGCCCATAAGGAGGGAAAGCCTGCTGAGCAACGAGCCATGGAATGAGATTCAACCGCCAATCCGCTCTCGGCAGCGTTCAGACTTTGCGATGACGCACGTCGACGCGCTACCATTGCAACAGCGGCGGCAGCTCGAGCCGGTCGCTAAGGCTTGGGGAGAGAATGGGAGAATAGGAGGGAGAGTGCTGTTTGATCATTGTTCGTACCATCCTATTCCCATGCTCTATCAATCGACCTACTCCTCCACGGCTGAGGGCCCGTCTGTAACGTTGGAGCGCCGTTGCAATGCCAGCGCGCCAATGCACGTCATAGCAAAGTTTCAACGCTGCCTTGCATTATGGCACCTTCATTTAAGGGACAAGTAGAATCTAATAACTAAGATGAACAACTCACCCGTTTTTCACCACAGAACATAAACATATCGGCCAAATCGAATGACGCAGTCAGCTCGATCGGCTGAAACAGAACCTATGGCTTACACAACGAGGAAGAAAAAGACCACTTTTAGGACGTTCTTCATCGAAATTTGTTCTTCAGGGCCAGACTACGCTGGAAAATCGACCCCTCTCTTACTTTAAGTCCTTGGACAGGACCACCACATCAGTTAGTGCACCTGCAAAATACCGGACACTCGCGACAAAACAACCTATGCTACTACTAACGGTATCTACGGCGCCAAGCGTTTCACGCAAAACCGAAGCCGGGTTCAGGATATCAAGCCAACCCTGGAGCCAAATTTCCAGCCAGTTTCGGATTTTCATCTAAAAGTAGGGTCCAGGAGAATGAATAGCTTTAATGAGCTGCTTACCTCTTTGGAATGACTTTGTATCGAGTACGCTACTCGAATTGGATTTCGTACTGTAGCAGCTCGTGGATCCAGTAATGTTCCGCTAATCGTTATGGGACACTGTATCAATGGCACTCGACACAGCGGCACCACCGATCGTACAGTACTCATGCCGTCCGCCCTATAACCACTTGTGGATTAAACAGGAACTTATCAAAAAGATGCAATTAAAGCAACCGTTCAACTCTATATTTTTCATCAACTTCGAAATACTATGGATATAGGAAGAGGTTGATTTCGAATTGAAATTATCCAAACCTTAATGGGACAATCCGCAATGACCGATGAGCGGAGGATTATAGCCTATGTGCCTCCCTCATTGGTGCTCCCTTTCCTAGAGGTGTGTGCTCTCTTTCCTAGAGGTTTCCGCTTAATCGGTTTATCGGCCAAATGTATTATTTAACCAGTGAAAACTACGGTGAAATCTTTTTGACTGGGGGCATATACAGGGCTTGGAGTATGGTGGTTGGGGGGAGGCGTCGGATGGAAGAGTTTCCATTTACATAAATATGTTTTGGCGCATCGTCAGCCTATTTCCATGAATGCTGCTCACTCCATAGTGGAAAGCAGCTGGCGGCGCCCTGTAAGGGAATTTCCCCCAGAACATTTTGTACTATGAATCCTCTATATTCTATGCTACCTCTATATTCTCTGAAGTGTTTATTAGACCAGTTTGGCTGACGCGCACTACTGTCGCGCATGGTTCAGTCTGTGGTCCTGATCAATATCAGGATTCTTCTGTTGCTTGAGCTAACCACAATGGCCCCAATTCCCCATTTTTTTTCGAAATTCGGCTCATTCATCATATTTCTCTTATCTAATGCAGCATTTCGCCAAGTGGTCTTGGTGCTTATCGATTCCTGAAAAAAACACAGCCATCTGGGAACAGAATAGCTTAGCGGGCTGAAAGACTGTCGATGGTAACAATATTGAAACCATACGTGAAACATGTGTTTATAGCAGTTATAGTGTAGTTCGCTGCGGACGGTTGGGCGTGTCCGTGCGGCTGCGCTTGGCGCGGTGCCAAACTCGTTCTACACCAGTTGTTGAAGCGGGCAAGTGACAATACTGTATCATATCCTTCGTATTACTAGTCTTCTACCACTTTTTGTCGCAGACGCTCTTCAACAAGAAGGCAGAGAACGGCTTTGATAGGGTGACACACTCATACTGGCTGACACGCCCAACCGTCCGCAGAGAGCTTAGAGTCGTACTTCGTTGAGCTGCTTTCACATCCTTTTGTTTGGTGCGCTCTTAATCATTGCCTCACTGTGCAAACAACTTTAAGTCTGATCACCTTTTTGTCGAAATCTGCGAGAGTTAGAACGGTCTAATTTAATTCGACCATATACACTAAAGGATGGAAAACATTTTGGGCCTTCACGGCTTTATGCCCATTCATTCCATGCGGCCACAGTTGGTCTAATATAGGCGGCAAAGCGGCAAGTAAAGCTGCGAAGCTGATAGTGGCCCTGGTCGAGACTTACACTATATCACAACTGTATCTCACACCGATGTCCCTACAGCACCTCTGAATTGCCTTACTGCGAAGAAGTTTCCAATGTACAACTCGTGCACTGAATTTTTGTGGCTTCCTCTCTGAAGTGGCCCCTATGGTATCTTATCAGCTGTTATCACTTCCTGACACCCACCAATAATGTTGCCATCCTGTGCCCCTATCTTACTTTTTGGGGCCGACGTCCCGTTATGCTGGCATAGGCGACACGTTGTGCGAATTGGGTGACCCCTCTTCTAAATAAATTCTTACTGCGTTTATGGTATTCCTATCAGTCTGTTTATCACTTCCTGCCACCCCCAATTATGTTCCCATCCTGCCTCCTATCTTACTTCTTGGAACCAACGTCTCGTCGTTGCTGTAGCCCACGCTATGAATTTGGTGACCCTCCCCTTCTAGGACCCCCTGTGGTATCTTATCAGCTCTTATCGGTTCTTGTTACCACCGATAATGTTCCTCATCCTGCCCCCTATCTTATTGCTTGGATCCAACGTCCCGTCGTTGCTCTGGCTGGTGTTATGAATTAGGTAACCCACTCCCTCTAAGGCTCCTTATGGTATCTTATCAGCTGTTATCACTTCTGCCACTCCACAAAATAGATGCCTCCCATCCTGCCCCCTATCTTACTTCTTGGAAACCAACGTCTCGTCGTTGCTGTAGCCCACGCTATGGATTTGGTGACCCTCCCCTTCTAAGACCCCCTGTGGTATCTTATCAGCTCTTATCAGTTCTTGTTACCTACCAACAAGTATTCCTGCCCGACCCCCTACAACACTTATCAGTTTGAGCGCTCTTTCGCTGAAGTTATGACATTTTTCCGGTCAAACCACACCACCGACACACGAGACAAACTTAAGCGCGAGATTATATATGGAGTAGGATTCATTAAAATTATTGTAAACAACCTTAACTTGCTACTTTGAACACTCGCACGTTGTTCAACATATTTTTTTATATAAAGTAGTCTGTTAACTTGGCCTGTGATTGATTGCTGAGCCAGCGTGCGATTGTGTGAATCCCGCGCGATTTGATTCGACCAATCGCCTACTGTGTTACTATTTCTTCACTTCATCTTAGCTTGTAATAAGCCTGAACCCTATATAAGGCGAATTCATATGTTGAAAAGCACGTCATTTCTGTGGAGATCTCGCGACTGGGCACTGCCCCACTTACTACTATCCAGCCGAAATAAACGGGTGAGTTACTGTTGTACTCGCACTGAAGAAGGAAAGGAGCTGCAAAAGCTCCATTACAGCCCCAAAATGTACGAATGCAGGAAGGCTTCACAATAAACGCCCGACAACATTTATTGGAAGAGTAAGATAATCCCCAAATGCGGCGAGTTATGAGGCAGCCGAGCCACATAACAAGGGCTATGTTGGCTCACTTTTGATAGTTTCGTACTTGGCCTAAAATTGCCATGCTATAGTGCCCTATTATTAGAGTGAGGATTGGAGAATAATTGGTCGTGGAAATAATCTCTCAGATTGGTGAAACTAGTCAAAATCCGCAAGGTAAAGCCTTCGTTATTTAATGATCAATAGCTATTCGGCGTAAACCGATGTTCTTCACTTAGGCATCCTGCAACAACGGCTACGGTAGGTATATTGCCTGTCCACGTCTGCCTTGTACTTCATATTGCATTGCAGCCACCACAGTCGCTTCAATCTATTCCCTTGCTCTACGTATTTACTATAGCAAATTGAAAGCAATACGCGGGCATTGGTACAGTTTCGTCTATTTGTCCGGCAGGCGGGCGCCGATGGGAGTCCGGGATCATGTTGCAGTGTAGTAGGGCGATACAAGGGCACCTTCGATGGGAGGCGCCACGCAGCGCTTCCTCAGGAACGCCGAACTTTGTCCTGCCAGGCGTATTAATCCTACTCGTCTTAGGAATTTATCGCGCCAACTGCCTTTGAGTGAAAATACCCAGTTGGCCTGTTTTGAACGAAACGCATCGCCCTGTGAGTACCAGATTTCATCCAGGATTTGTAATATGGTCAGAACTGAGTTCTCGCTGATGTGCTTCTCCTCGTAAAACGGTCGAGGAAAGTGAGGAAGGCAGCCTGGTTGTGAGCCTGTGCCGTTTTCGCGGAATAAAATTTTTCAACAGTTGATAGCTCTGCGACTGCAGCGCCTTTTTGTGGTTAAATCTATGCGATGCTCCTATAATTACTCTCTCTAAAAACTAGAGGAAGTAGCGCCCCAAAACTGAGGGAAGTAAAGCCAAGTATGGAGTTGCTTAGCCACAGTTGACAGGATATGGATTCCTGCCATTCAGTGCATCTTCGCAAGTGCATTATGGGCAACTGTTATTCATTAGGATTTTTGGCCTTCATTGGGTGACTGATAGGAAAAGCCATAAGAAAGAAAAACTGATGGTCAGTCCCCAGTTCGCTGTGAATGAAGGGGCGTGTCAGGCAGTATGAGTGCCACGGCCAGAAACCCGTTCTCCGCGTTGTTGAAGCGGCTATGCGAAAACAAGTATTAAAAAACAGCATATACGAACGATATGTCACAATCCTGTAATTTGAAGAACGGGTTTGGCACAACGCCAGAATCATTCCGCCTGACACGCCCCTTCGTCTGCAGCGAGCTAGACTGTACCTACCGTTTCCACTCGATGGCCAATCGCCCGAGTGGTGTCTCGACGTCATCTTCGGAGGTCCTAATTGCGACAGCGCAGCAATAGCTCATCACTTCGCCTTCCTTGAGATCATCTGTAAAACGGGAGTATTCAATCGACGCTCGCCTCCTGCCTTTCAGGATACCTCATACCTTCAGTAGACTTTACGCAAGCTTGCTCTCCAATTGGAACTACGACGTCAGCCTGAAAAAACCACTTGTCATATTAATGGCTCGTGTTCTGAAGAATGGTTGCAAAGATGTTCGTGCAACTTTTTGTTTCCACATTGACAGCAAACCATAGGGACGAAGGCGGGTGAAGGGCCACTGGACTGTGTCACTTCACGAGTGTCCTCGAAGCTTCAGGATGAGTATATACTACTCAGGCCACGTCCAGCCGTTGGGAAGAAATTTCGCAAAATAGGCCTCCCCTCAAAAGTTTCTCCTCTAGTACGACCCCTGCCTCCTTCCTCCTTCCGCATCCCTGTCCGATCTACCATGTTCCTGAATTCTTTCAACTTCTTACTCTTTTCCTAAGATTGGGAATTCTCCTATCTCTTTGTTTTCCGCAAAAACTAACGTCGAGTGGAGGAGGAAGATAAAGACGAAACAAACGCGCGAGGGAATGAAAAAAAACCTGGGAAGTCAACAACCCAAAAAAAATTCTCAAAAGCAATTACGACCTCTCTCGCT